TTGTCAGATGTGTTAACTAAGCAAGGGGTAAATAGGGAAGAATTATTTTGGGTTCAGTTGTGATTATTGTTTTTCTTTCCTAGTTTACTTGTAAGACTCAAGGAGGGGCTGCAGCTCGTGCCTCTCATTGGGATGATGTATGAACTCACTCTAAAGTTGCTTCTGAATCAATAAACTTATTATTATTCATCAAAAAAAAAGAGTTCTCAGATATCTTAAGAAGTTCCTAGGTGCAGGCTTGTTGTTCCAAAAGTATGGACATTTGAAAGTTGAAGTGTATACTGATGCAGATTAGGTAGGATTCCTAAATGACAGAAAGTCAACTAGTGGCTATTGTACCTTCATAGGAGGTAACTTAGTTACTTGGAGAAGCAAAAGGAAAAATGTGGTAGCTAGATCTAGTGCTGAAGTTGAATACCTAGCAATGTCTCATGGAGTGGCTGAAAAACTTGTTGGGTGAGTTGGGTCTTCCAGTTGATGGACCTATGACACTATTCAGTGATAACAAAGCAACCATAAACACTATTGCTAATCCAGTGTTGCATGATAGAACTAAACACATCGAAGTCGACAAACATTTTATCAGAGAAAAGACCGTCACAGGGGAAGTGTGTACTCCTTATGTTAGTTCTGAAGATCAACTTGCAGACATCTTTACAAAAGGGTTACACCACTCACGGCATCATGATTTATATGACAAGTTGGGCATGATTGACATCTATGTCCCAACTTGAGGGGGAGTGTTAAAAGACTGCTATTTGTCTAAGTATAGTACCGCAGGGGTACTCTTGTAATTTTCTTCTTTTATTTTTTATGTTCTATCGCCCTAGTATATATATCAAAGCTGGCGCCACCAGCAGTACCTTTTCTGGCTCTTAGTTCTCTCTTCTCCCTTCTCTCTCTCTCTAGGATATATTCTATTGAAGAAATTAGAAATATCTTCCATGAGACTTGAAACTATAACATTTTAGTTAAAAAACATTATCCATACCACCAATAAAAAGCATTTTCTATTAACATCAACAAATACTTATAACCATACAAACAATAAGGGATGCAATCTTAAATGTATCAAATATGCTGGATTTTGGATTCATGTTTGATTGGGTCAGAAAGAAATAAACTACTTAGGAGTCATATCCAGCTTAATCAAATCAGATTATGACTAGCTACAGATCATGATCTTTAAGACTGCAAAGGTCATCTAGATCTTCTATAGACAGTTGGTGTAGAAATGTCAAGTATCTATGCTAAAATGTGTGTATGAAATAAATGAATGAACATTTAAATACTACAAAATGGTTTTGTACCAGTCTAGCAGATAGCAAATAGCTATTGCAAAAGCTTCCAAATCAAAGAGGTAAAAAAACGTACTTCAAAAAATATATAATCAGCCTTAAATGCTAAGCTAATAACTTTGCGATTTCATCTACTCCAAGACTCCCGTGTGGCACTACTTCAGAATAAACTCCTTTTAGACCTTTTGTTCTTTGATGTCTGGTATTTTTCTCTACATTTCCTTTCTTCTCTAAAACTGCTACAGCCTCTTCAACCTCGGAATTTCCAGTCTCTTGCTTGTCCCCCTTTTGAACGAAGACCTTACGTGGTCTGTGCTTGAAAATAGGCCCACGGGGAGCAGTCTTAGCAAGGGCAATTGATCTTTCATAAATGATATCAGCATCTAAAGAGGCACTGTCCAAAATAACTGCACTTCCATTCTCAATAGCTTGATTCAAAAGTAATATTACTCCATCTGTACAATTCGTAGTGGGACTTTCCAGCTCACTTAAACATTCTGAGCCTTCTTGTAGATTTTCCAGTGTTGTCTTGCCCATTGACACAGCTTCTGAATCATCATCATTATTCCATATGCTGTCCAATTTGGTTTCAGAATTGTTAGTATTCAGAGCATTGCAAACCAACGGTGCGGCCAGTGATTCATCAGCAGTGCCTGCCTTGTTATCTGATACAGTCCCAGATCCAGAGATATTCTTCATAGTGACACCAACATTTGTAGCTTCAGATGGCTGCACATTCCTTTCAGTATTGAATGATAAACCATCCTTCCCTTCTAAGTTTGCACCTCCACTACTCAAAGAGCATGTGCTATTAATAGGAACATTGCAACTTGCATCCATGTTTGAGCTTTCTGAATCACATAAATCTAATGTCTCCTGATGTTCTCCAAGCAGCACACTATCATTACTAGGTGGAGTGGCAGTAACACAATCTTTTTCAGATTGCCTAGCTTCCTCAGAATCATCTTCTGGATTCACAAGGGAGGATTTCCAATCCCTTCCCCTCCACATAAGAATGTGTTCATTTTCAAATGAGATCAAGACGCATGGGACAAGGTCCTGCAATTACCAAATTCATGGAGATCTTGTAATTTAGAAATAATATATGAGAATGGATATTCTAACCAACAAAGCTAATTATACAACCTTGAGTTTAGCACCTATTTTCTGGTAGTCGCTTTTATTCATTCCCTGGCAATTTATTCTAACCAACTCACACTCTTCAAATGCTTCTCTGACATTTTTAGCAAGGTCAGAATATACACCATTTTTTCCTGTAAATATGCACAACAATAAACAATTAGTTTCCTTGTGGGTATGGTGAATCATATCTCATGGACATCAATTCGTTTAGGGAAAGGAAAACCAGTTACCAAGTTTACATATTGGTGGTAAATTCCACCCTTTCTTGCGCATTTCACTTGCTTCCTCCAGTGTCAGACCTTCTGGAACACGCTGAATCAATCTTGGATACACTGGGGTAACAGGTTTCCAAAGCATAAGAGGAAATCGAGGGCGAGTCCTGTAGTTGTAATTTCTGCCACGGAATAGGAGTAGAACCCCTCCTCTACTGTAGATGATCCTCCCTCCTGTTTTCTCCTGTGTCAAACCATGTAGTCACAGGTAATTAAACTTTCATGAAAGGGAATTTTTATCGACTAATAAAGGAACAGAGAAACAATGGAATCTATATGTTTGTATACTGCATGGAAATATGGTCACTTTAGCCAAATGTTTAATTTTAGTTGGTGCACCCAGGAACTGTATTAGAACTATTAAATGGGTTGGAACATCCAGTGTCATAACAGGAATGGTTGTTACGGAACGCCATCTCAATAGTATGGGGTAGAGAAATTTAGGAATTTTTGAGAATAGATGCTCTTCGAAGGGGCTGGTGATTCACAAGGTTACAGCCACAATCCATGGTATTGGGACATTAGCAGTTCAAGAGTCTTCTACTTCCACAGCATCCTTTTTTCAACATATCACATTGTTTGTGTAGCTGGCAGTGTGAGAGCCTAGTAGGATGATTTTTGGGCACTCCCTGAATGTACAGAGTCACTCACTCTACATGGGCTTATACTTGCACATGTTTACCACTCATTTTGAATGAAATAATTTAACCTTTTTCCAAATAAAAAATGATGATTGTTTCTAGTGGAATATGATTCTCCAATTATATCCAATAGAATAACAAGATGACCACATGGGAAAATCAATACTTTGGAAAACTTACAGAAAAAGAGACCGTCTCTTTGTCTTTCCCCAAATTGGTGTTCCTTGTGTAAGGCCAAGAATCATGACTGTTTCCATTTGCTGATCTCCTATTCATTTGCTACAGCTTTATGGAATTGGAGCCTTTGTTTATTTGGAGGTAGGTGGTCTTTGCCTTCTGATTTAAGGTCATTAATTAACCCATCTTTTTTTGTTTGGCACACTAGAAGAGGCAAAGTCATGTGGAAATGTGTCAGGGCAGCCACTTTGTGGACTCTTTGGGAGAAAAGGAATGGAAGAATTTTTTCAGAGAAGGAAAGATGGTTAGATGAAGTGAAGGACTACATCCTTACAGCTGAAAACATTAGATATGTTTGACGATTTCTCCTTTGATGACTTGTGGAGGAATTGGTTAATAATAGCTAACACTTCAACAAAGAAGAATAGAATCTTGTCAGAATGGGTTCCGCCTTTGGAAGGTGTCATCAAGTTGAATTTTGATGGAAGCAACCAAGGTAACCCAGGGCCTTCAGGTGTAGGGGGTGTCCTGAGAAATAAGGACAGCAACATAATCTCCTTATTCTCAGGACCGGTGGGAGTAGGGGACTCCACAAGGGCAGAAATCCTTGCTGCAGTACAAGGAATTCAGATTGCTAACCAGCTTGGGGTGGAGAATCTCCTAGTTGAAGGGGACTCTCAAGTGGTAACGGAATGGCTTCTAAACCCGGATACTACCATTTGGGGCTACAAAGATCTCATCAAAAAAGTAAAGTGGTTAACCAACAATATAAGAGTTGAGGTAAAATGGGTTAGCAGGTCTGCTAATTCTATGGCTGATTCTTTAGCCAAACAGGGGGTTTCAGGGAAGACATTTTTTGTGCTACTTTGTAAACTATTAGTAATCTGGAATTTGTACTTAACTAGCCCGGAGAGGTTGCAACTCGTGCCTCTACTCAGGGACTTTGTACTATTGTCTATTGCTCATTAATAAACTTATTTCAATCCTCAAAAAAAAAATAACAAGATGACCACATGACTTGGAAGAGGCTATGGAGAAATACTTTTTTTCTCCAAACAATTAAATCATTGATTTTGGAAGGCAGCATCGTTATAAGGCACTACAAGTGACCGTGCAAAGTGTGGGCACAATAAACTAATCAGTTGAACCAGTACTGCAAAAGGAGAAGGAGGTGAACTTGAGACCTCTCACAAGGAACTAAACATAACCATCAAAATTGGGAAAAATGTTTCCACTATAAAATAGGGATCTTCCCGTCCCTAATTTAGCTTGTTATCATCCACAGGATTTAAGATCCCTTGGGATCCATCTGATTTGGCCATTCATCTGAAGTTAGAAGAAAAGTTCTTCAGCCATGCATAGACTACAAATCATTTGAATGACAGGACTGAATTCTCATATACACTGTCCACACTATACCTACGAATGATTTTATCCACTAAGAACTCTAAGGTACACATATGACAATTACATTTTGTAAATCTTAAATAATGAATAATTATTAGAACTAAGCGAGAAAGAAGCAAGAAAAAAGACAGTTGAATTGAGCCAAAGATAAAAAAGGCAACATCATATTTTAGGTTTCCTAGTTATATTCATACATAACTTATTACGTAGAAGATATTGTACAACAGAAAGGAAAACATCAAGGACAACATAGCATGTGAGTATATAGAAGACGATGAAGTTCACAATCAAAGAACCCAACCTCTAACTGTTGGCGGACATTGTCCATGTCAACTGTGCAGACTCCTTTGCATTTTATCTTGCATACTCTCCGCCGCTTCCAGTGAGCATGAATGTTATCCAACATGTTGTGTGTTAATCCATCTCTACCTGCAGGAGCGGGGGGAAGAAAAGAAGTAATATTTAAATTGCAAAACACAGATATGATTATTCAAATGTACAAAATAGGACCCTATTTCCAAAGCAATAAAGCTCACAAATATTCAAAAGAAGAAAATTTCTAGATTAGTCACCTAAATTCATACAAATGCAAACAGAAAAAGAGAAATAAATACATAGACATTTTCAGGGAAAAACTCATGAGTTCATACAAACCCATATTCAATTGCCTCTTTGACTTTAAGCATCCCTGAACAAGATCCTTAATCTCTTCCTCCGTCAAAGGCTCCCCCAAAATATCCTCCCTCGACCTCACATACTTCGGCCCTGAGCCCGCCAAAAAAGGCCCCGGTGACTGTACCGGTTTCACCCCTTTCTTATGTGGTGGCGGCAACCGAAATGAGTCAAACTCAGGCAGCTTCTTCTTGCTCGGAGGAAGCGGCTTTCTTCCAGTCCAAGGCCGAGGCATTGTGCTTGGTCCAAATGGCACAAATGGTGGCTCACGCAGCGCTAATGGCTTCACCTTTGGTGTCTCAGTATAACTGTACTGAAATTCAAACGGCGCATTTGGGAATGTATACGAAACTCCGTTTTCCCCAACGGTGACACCGGTTTCAGTCTCCGGAGGAACCCTAGGAAGCCTGGAAACCTTTGAAACTCGACGGAACGCCGGGTGCGAGAATTTGGAGTCAGAATTAGGGTTTTTGGAGTACTTCGAAGCTTTTCCAGGAATAGATGAACGAGAAGGAGAGGAAGGCGTTCCGATGGACTTAAAGTTTTCATTGCCCGTGGTGGTAGCGATGATGGAGGTGTTGGTGGCCTCGTTATCGTAATCATCAGCAATTCTTGAGGCTGAGTCAAAACGTCTCTCCCGGCGGATTTCATCTTCGATTTCTTTCTGGGCGCGTTCACGGCGGAGGAACCTCTCAGCGTTGGCGTTGTTCCAGCGGGAGAAACGAACTTCGGTCGCCGGTCGGTGAGAAGGAACTTGTGGCGCGAATATGGGAAAAGGGAAGGTCGTCTTTAGCGACATCTTTATTGGTTTTGAATTATACTCGGCATTTTTTTCTCGGAGTTCGGCAGGTTTCCGGTGGCAATGTTTTCAGTAGCAGCTACCTCCGCTACTTGTTGTTCTACTGGCCGCTAGGTGAGTGATTGAAGAGATTTTTCTTCATTTTTTAAAGTCTTTTTTTTTTTTTTTCTTGTTTTCATTTTTTATTTAATTTAATTATTTATTAGGAAAATTTTAGCTTAGTACGCTGAACTAATGTCAATACAGTACCAAACTTTGGAAAACTGTCGATTTAATACCACTGTTAGCAGTCCGACAATTAACTGATGCAAGTGATATCACATGTGATTTATAACGAAACTAAACCGAAGGGTACGTGGATGAAAATTTTGCTATTAAAAAGAAAATTAATACCAGAAACTAAAAAAAAAAAAATAAGGACTGATAATACCAGAAAACTAATACCAATAAGGATTTGGACATGACAGATGCGTAAAGAGGACCGGTAATTGTTTCCGGTTGTTAAAACAATCCTGAGATTCTTATTGAAAAATAAGGTAAGTATATTTACTTGTTGTGATTCGTTTTGATATGAAGGAACATTGATGACTGCAAGTGCTCACATATTTACTACTGTTATTGGATCCGGAGTTTTCTCTCTAGTTTGGGTTGTAACTATTTTGGAGTTCGGCCCTTTTATTGCGTTATACAAAATTACAAAAAACTATCATAATGGTGTAGACTGATAGAAACTGATCTCCAAATGACCTATTGCTCTCATACTCTTTGCTGTCATCACTTGGTTCACATCTGTTCTACTTGCCGAGTGTTACAGGTCTCCTGACCCTCCTGTTACAAGCAAGAGAAACTATGCATACATGGATGCAGTTAAAGCCGATATAGGTAAAAAAAAGGAAGAGGTTCCTGAAACCAATCTATTCTTGGTGAGATTTTTAAGAGAATTTAAACAAACCTTTCAAAATTCAGGTTCAAAACATTTGATAAACCAAGTGGGTCTCTCTTGAATGTCCGGAATCCTAATCCTTTTTTTTCTCGGGAGGAATAATGATTCAGCTCTCTGGATTAGCTCATATGGTAGCTTTGTAGGGACTACCATTGGATACACCATCACTACACCTATGAGTATGGCGTAAGTAATTTAATTCGATGCCCTCTAAGCTTTAAATGTTGTTCTTAACTTCTTTTCATTCAATTTTGGTTTTAATTGTTTGTAGATAATGTCTAGTTTTGATTTCATATTGCTTTTCTCAATCAGGGCAGTTCAAATGCCCAACTGCTTCCACAAGAACGGCCACTATGCCAAAAGTGCAACACATCACACTATCTCTTCATGATCATCGTTGTATGCACTACCCAATTTTCATAAGCTCTCTTGGCTATCCATCATATCAACTATTATGCCATTTTTTTATTCTCTAATAGGAATCGGTCTCTCCACAGCCAAAGTTATAGATTTTCAGCAACTGATTCATAAAACTCTGAATGGATAGATACCTTGGATGGGTTTCATTTTGCAGAGAGAAACCATAATGTTAGGACTAGTTTGAGAGGGGTCGAAGTTGGATTGGATGTCACTACAACTGAGAAAATGTGGATGGTCTTTCAAGCCATCAGAGATACTACCTTTGCCTACACCTTCGCTCTCGTCCTCGTTGAGATAAATTACCAGTCCTTTTTACGTGTCCGTCGTCCAACCTTCAGCTTTGTGCCATTTTCACAAAAGACATTGTAAGAAAATTAGATGACATCTAAAGGGAATTTGTGTCATTTCACATGCCACTTAACGTTTGTTAACTATTAACGGTTTTAGACTAAATTGACAGTTTTCGAAAGTTTGAATACTATAGTGACTCACTTTAAAGTTCAGGTACTAACTTGACATTATCCCCAAAGTTCAAGGTATTAATCTGAAATTTTCCCTTACTTATTTAATAGTACCCCTAGTTCCTTCAGATTCAGATACCTTACCAACCAAACGGTCCAACATTTTCCAATTAGCCATAGCAGCTGCACATTGGGAATAAAACATGTACAATGTTGTAAGTATTTAGTTGGCAGCAAATATTTCCAATCCACAATTCCCAAGGGACTTTTCTGCACGTGGAATTATCACCGTATATTGAGGGTGATGTTTGTTATCAGTGTTGTTTTATGAGAAAACAGTGCCATATAGGCACCATGCCAGAGAAAATGGTGTTGGAAACAAAGGATGGTTGTTTGATTCCATTTTTCCAAAAAATGGGGACAAAACAACTACGACGTGGAAATTGGAATACATGGTCAGAGGTAATAATGAAATTGACATTTTTCCAAATTTCTTACCGTTGTTGCTAATAGTGACATGATGTGGTGATTACATGGCATCCAACGTGGCACATCTTTGACTTGATACAGTGCATCGCAAGGCACCACAAAAATTGTTACTCCCCTGTTAAACAAACCCTAACACATTTTGTTTTTCTTTAAGAGGTCGGATCTGCTCCTCACACAAGGCGCCTCACACCAACCTCACATGCACATCCTACCATGAATTGAGAAAATCTCCGGTACTTATACGTTATTATTCACAGGAGATGTTCCCAATGCATGGTGAGATGTGCTCGTGCGATCATTGTGAGGCGCCTTGTGTGAGGAGCATATCCCAATTCTTTCTTCCACTACTATTGCTCTCTTAGTCGGCCCTAAATGTCGAACTCATTGCTAAAGAACAGACTTCACCAGACTTTTTCGTTTTTAGCTACTAGGGGTCAAGCATACTTGTGTCCAGCCTATTTATCTTCTATTCGAAATCACCTCACCTTATTTGTCTTCGGAACCGCCGTAGGTGTGTCTTCAAATGTTTTTTTTTTTTTATTTTTGAATCATCATATCTTAGTATTTTTGTATCTTTAATTTTGTTTTTTTTTTGCTTATGGATCATCGGATCTATAGTTCTAGTAGTTAATAATGGTTAAGGAATCATCAGATGCCATTATGTGGGTGGCGGCAATGAAGGTTGTTCTTTAGGCTGCATTTGGAAATGATGCAAATGGAATATAAATCTCGGTTTAGGGTCAATTTGCACTCTGGTTCACTTTTGCCTGTGTTTGGCAACATTACATTTATGCATTGATAATAAGATGTAAAAGTACAAAAATAAAAAAAAAGAAGTAAATTTGCATTCAAGTGGGCTTTTGATAAAAAAGGCATATGCTTTATTGGAATTCGTGTTTGCATCCATTACAACTAAAAGTCAAATTTGTAAGAAGGTAAATTTGTCGGTGCAAAACTAACCCAACTTTACAATTTATATGGATTGTTTTATACTAATATTTGCATTCACACTTATTTGCATCATTTCCAAATGCAGCCTTAGGAAAACAAACAAGGTTCCAAGTATGGTAAGCAAAATCCTCACAATGAAATTACAATTCCAAGTATAAATGCCACAAGGGTTACAAGAAAGAGGAAAAAATGCATTACCACTTTCAATAGTATGGTAAGCAAAATCCCCACAAGCCTTCATCTAACATGTAGGAAAAATCTTCTTCATTTTGGTTTATTTCATCCCATAGATAATCTGAGGCATCTATTTGAAACAAATTCACCACCTCCACATAAGATATCTTCTTCAAAATGTCTTCAAAATCTCCAAGATTGGAATCCTTTTGGAGAAAATCTTCATCCCATTGCCATTCCCATGGCTCACTAATAACGATTTCACAAAAGAAAAACATAAACACATCATCAAATTAAAGTAGAACCCATAATTTATGAAAATGACAAAGAAGAAAACCAAATAGATAAATGGGAAATTAGTAGATGGAGCCGGATCTATTGTGCAAGAAAATTGCAAAAAAATAAAAAGATAAGATAATTTCAACCTTAAATTGCATTCTTCCATGCTGCATTTCATCGTACAGTAGTTGACCTTCCATAATTAGTAAGTAAAAAATGATTCAAAAATGTAAAACAAATCACACATTCCATGGTAAAGTGAAGCAACACTTATTAACAAAAAACAATATTAACTAACTGAAAAAAAAATAAGAATTTATGATGGATTTTGATTCAAATCCATATGAACTTTGGTCTTATAGTGTGCCTTTTCATTATCTTCTCTTTGTAAATTTGGCTTTCCTCTTTTTTGCTTTACCCCTTTATAACAATAGCAAGGAGTTGCTTTGAGTAGTTGGGAATTAAGCATTTATTTTTTATGTTTTACATGTAAATTTATCTAGTTGGCTTGGCAGCTTCCCAATATTATTTAGTCTTTTTCTATTCTATAAACCCATAATTGATGCTAGAACCGTTGGACTTGATCCTGTTTGGATACATGGATGTGTATGGGAAAGTAACCCAGCTAATTTTCTTGTTGTTGCTTAGATAGACCTCTTTTTAACATCATCCATAAGTCATCAATATTGCTATGGATTGAAAAGAAATTCAGCCTCTATTTAAGTTCATTTCAAGAAACTTTCCTTAGTTAATTCCTTGATTGGAAAGACTGAATTAACCAGCAGATAGAGATGAAATTCTCTCTAGTAGGACTGATGTTCTACCCAAAGATGAAAGATCATTAATGGATTGTAAGTAGGGTAACTGATTAAAACAGCCAACCTTTAACAACAAAACCCTTGAACTTGAATATCAGCATAGATTTCTAACTCCTGAACTCCTAACTAGGGTTAACAATTAATATTTTTTATCAGTAAATTTTATTAAAATTTAGATTGTAAACAATTTATACAACTTGGTGATGGGACAATTGATCTTCTTTAATCACTCTGTTCTATCCCTTATTATAGTGCAACCCGAAACAATTGTTGTCTCAATGCCCCTGTTTTGCTAAACCATCAGCTAGCCCATTTGCACTTCTTTAGACCCATTTAAATTCAGCATCAACCTCCTTTGCAATCTTCTCCACTTCCCTAATCACATGTTTAAACGTCCATGGGGCATGACTATTGTTTGTTGCTCATGAAATTACTACTTTTGAGTCCCCTTCCACTTCAACATGCTTGTATCCTAGCTGTTTGGCTTGCTTTAACCCTTGTAGTAATGCCAACAGTTTAGCCTTCAGTGAGTTTCCAATGTCAATTGGTCCTAAGAATATACCCAATATCCTCCTTTTAGAGTCTCTGAATATTCCTATTCCTAAGATGCCCGGATTTTCAAAGGAGCTCCCATCAAAATCCAGTTTTACTTGATTGCCTTCTAGTGGTTTACACTCCAACCTTACTTTATCTCTTACTATCAATGACTATGTTACTTCGGACCATGTTCTTAGAATGCCTATGAATGAGAAGACTTGAAAGCTATCCAAGGTTTTTACTCAATGAGCTACTTTTGCCTTGATATTATCAATCACTTCCTCTATTGTTCTACTTTTTTTCAAGAAAATTTTGTTGTTCCTCTCTTCCCATATTACCCAACAAATCGCTGCCTTTGTTGTTTTTCACATTACCATCCCAACAATATTAACATACATTTGCCCTATAGCAGAATTCTTTGTATACAAAGGAACTTGTAGAGCCATCCATTCATGATATTTTGATATTCTTTTTTTTGTATGCAAATTTTGACTAAACATCCCTTTATGAAATTCTATTTTCACCAAGGGTTGAACTCTTGGGATGGGCAAGGACCAGAACTTCTCCAAGGGCTGAACTCTTGGATCTTACAATCCAAGGGCTGAACTCTTGGGATGGGCAGGACTAGAACTTCTCCAAGGGCTAGACTACAGTTCCATTTGCTTAAGCATCCATTCATG